GATGATGATGATGATGATGATGATGATGATGATGATGATTTTATCCCACCTTTTTTATATATAACTCAGGCAGGTTACATTGGTGCTTTGTAGAAATCTCATATATACCATAAACATGTTTTAGACTCTTACTTTGAAGTGTTTCCTCCTGTTCTCTCTTCAATATATCATATTTTTCAGAGAATTGTTTACACTGTAAATCCTCCTTCTCTACCTAAAGGGGGGGAGAAAACTATAGCTGTAGATAAATAATAATAATGCATTCTCATCACAAAGCATGCTGCATTATAATCATCCTCCTTTGAAGAGTTTTAAGCAGTTTCCCTCAAACTGCTCTCTTCCAGAAGCATTGGGACTATAGCTCCCAAATATCCAGCTGACTGAAATGGGATTGGCCGGATTAGCATTTTAATTTTATGCAGGTTCACCTATGAATAACCCCAGTGAATTTACATCTGAGTACACTTGCATAGGAACTTGAGTAGGGACCTATGATGTTGGAAGCATTCTTTTCTCCCACTCGAACCTCAGATCAAACAGGTCTGGTAGGCTTTTAAAGTATGAAAAAAAAAAAACATGCCAAAATAGGATCAGTCGCAAAGGGTGTATTTTTATCATGGAAAATTACTTTTATTAGGGAAGCAGTATGGTAGAGAGATAAAGAACCAGACTTTATGGATCAGCAATGATGGAATAATTAGTGTTTAGCTCAAATTCATAGTCAGCCAATAACCTATGGCTATTAAGAATATTTTAGTCTACTATAACTCTTCAGATGGTTGTGAAATTAAATTATGGGAGCAACCCATGTTTGCCATTTTGCTATCTTGAAGGCAGGATACAAAAGCAATAGTTATAACATTACCATTATCTTCAACATTAAATTTAATCTTTATCTATCCCAGGCTGGACAAGAGAGAGATAAAATGATGGATAGAAAGATACTCTGTTGAATATCTAGGATACAAGCCAGGTAGTCTAACCTATTCACATTCATTATTTCATTGGGATTTACTGCTACACAAGCATATTCAAGATGCAATCTCAGCAGAGTTGAGTTGGAATATATTTGCAGTACGTATTTTAACTTAAATATGTAAGGGCCCAAGGAATTAAAGATCAGTAAAGGATAGAATAGAAATCTCAAGATAAGTGTTTTAATTGCATGAACAAAGAATTGCTTCTTCACAGAAATGCACTACTGTATTGAAATGAATCAGAATTCTATATAAGATGACAATCTCTCAAGATAATTTATGGTCACCTCTATTAAAGCTATGATATACATGGCTATAATTAGGCAGTTCACGATCAAATACTAAGAGAAGCAATACAGTAGCAGAATGCAATGCTTTATCACAAAAGTCCTGAAGCAGTTGAGTTGTGTGTTGGTTTGGCATGTCAACTAAATTTTCTTGTACCAAGCCAGAGCAATCAATCCATATGATATGACAGCCATAAACAAATTTTCTTCTGCCTGGCAAGGCATGGTCAACTGGTGAGATACAGTATACCAGATAGAGCCTTATTTGTTACCACAAGATACAGTCAGCTTTACAGGCCAGTTCCTGCAGAACATTAATTCCACCAACAGGACCTTAAGGATGCCCAACTGACCTATCTTGAGGCACACATATGTATGATTCAGCCTTCCTCTCATCCCAGCCCATCACCAAGGTCAGCTAACCAAGTTATTTTTAACCAAGAGATGTTTTCCATATTTTCCCAATGTAAATTTTGTTATTTGCATGTGTCACACTTTGGTGATGATTGAGTTGAGTGGGGATATGGGATCTGCCCACTCCTATTGGCTGCTTTCAGCTGATATGGACATATCCCCTCCCCTCTAGTCTCTACCACAGGATGTTCCTCAGCAGCTGTATTGACAGTCAGGAGGCACTCCCCACCTGCCAACATGTTTTTGACACCTTTGTCAGCGCTGGCTGAGCTGGGAAAAAATCTTCCACTTTAGCCAGCATGACCCCTCATGATCTCCCAACACACCACATGGGAGATCCCATGCAAGGCATGTTGGCAACCATGTTGACAAGCTATGCCATGGCATGTTCACAGATGAGGGTGGGGGTGGGAGTGTTGCTGGGTGAAGCAAGAAAGTTCTTGCCCTGAGATGCTGCTGTCAGCCAACTGTAAGCCAGTTCAGTTTATCAGTTTAACAGATAACACCACCACTCAATGGTGTCAATCTGTTGCAGTGAAAACTACAGTTTTATAGCACCTTAACAACTAAAGAAATGTACTACACCATGATGTTTGTGGACCACAGTTCACTTCATCAGATATATAAACTGTTACAGTGACAGAAGGTGACAGGGACGATATAACACTTCTGCTTCAGGAGCTGCACTGGTTACCAGAAGGCTTCCAGATGCAATTCAAGGTGCTGGTTTAAACCTCTCCATGATATAAGGCCTAGCTACTTGAGGAAGATTTGTCATCAAATGCTGTTGATGCCATTGCTGAGATTATTTGTTCCTGCCACAGTGTTGCAGAATTTGGTTCCTAGCCCTGTATGAGTGTTGTGAAGCCTGCTATTGTCAACATATGACTGCTTTAGGTAGGAACGGTATACACGTATAGCTCATTTTCAGTAATAATGCCCTTATCTCACATGTCTTGGGTGGTAACCATTGTAAATCAGCTAGTTACCAATAGCAGAGGCTGTCCCACAGTCTACTGACACAGAAACCAAATAATACAGCTGTCAACTTTGTCTCCATATTTGCTCAAGCAACACTATCTCAATGCTCTTTGAAGAAAATTAATTCTCCTACCTTTGAACAGCTTCAATTATAGTAGAAAGAAGGAAGTAGGTAAACTTTCCCCAGCTTTGGGAAAACCAGCAGGGATTTCACTTACAGTATCACTTTCAACAGAGAGCGAGAAAATGGGAAGGGCTGGGAAAGAAAATCTGCACTCATTAAATTGGTGAGGTTTCCAATGTACAGGGAGAATTTTTCTTTTTGCTTTTTTAAAGATCTCAAGTACAAATATATGGTTTTCAAAAACGGTGAGTGGAAACCAACTGAAGTAATATACAACAATGGTGTTCATCTTAAAATACAATGGTACTGTACTCAGGTGACACAAAAAGGCGAGTCACCTAAATCTTGAGGTTATATGGTGCCCCCAGGGAATGTATCAGGTGTTTATCTGAATCTGATTACTGCAGAAAACAGAAGAAAAAATTCCAAACTGAAATGAAAATATACATGAACACCTAGTTAGATGTATATTGAATAGGGTAGCTCTAACCTGGAGTTTAATGTCCTGGCTAAGTCTGTGAGTCTCAGCATGGTGAACTTCCTTCAGACAATCTTCCTTTTCCTGCTGTTGTTGCTGGAGTCTTGTGGTCTCATCCATCTGCTTCTCCAGCAGTGCAGCCTTCCTTTTTTCCGCTTCATTGTGCAAATAGTCTACGTTGGCTTATTCAAGGAGAAGGAAGAAAAGAAGAATTACATATAGGTGGCTTTTGTTTCCCTTCTTCTATCTTTGTTGTTACATTACTATTTTTCTCCAGCATTGATTTGAAAGCTCAGTTTGTTATCTGAAAGGGTTTGCGTTCTAGAAATGCATACTACATGCTCTATAAATACAGAAGAGCTTGAATTCTGAAGAAGCTTCTGGGATACCTGACATTGCTAGCAAGACATGGCTTGCTCAGTCATGCACAGTGTTTAGGCTCCCTCTAGAAGATCCCGTTAAAAGCATCAGATATGAACTGGAAGTAACAAATGTTAATTTCTGTACACACATGATTTGCTAGAGGACCTTAAACAAGCTACTCTTTCATACCATTCACAGTGACAGATAGCAATATTGGTCTGTCATGTGGTTATTGGAGGGCTTATTAATGTTATATGCAGTACAGATTATAGAAAGAAGATTACATAAATTTATATCCTGCCAAGGATTAACACTTCCTAAATAGTTCAGAGGGAATATGCAAGGAATGGGCTGCAGGTATTAGTATTGATGGGTCTTTGATCAAACCAACTTATGCCCTTGAATATGGGAGTTCTGTCCTGAGTTCCACTTCTGACCTAAAACCATGGTGGCTGGAAAGGAGATTCTTTAAGATCCCAGATGAATCCAATTAAGATTTATAAATGAAAAAAAAATCTGTTCACTATAGTCTTTTCATTCTTCACCACTGTACAGTATAAGGAACCTGGCTGAGCTGTAACAAGTGCTAAGTGCCATTCATTTAAACAATTGGAATTTGTTTAAATTATTTGGTATTGCTTCTTTGCTGTGCAAGACATGTGTGTTTAAAAGAGCTTTATTTATTGTTTTAGAGCAAAGGATTGGTGCACTATAACATGTGTAAGTCATATGCATTTCACACACTCTGAACTGGTGAAAAATACATGTTTATACTGCAATTATAAACATTCATATTCCATGAGAACAAAACAATTACAGTGTGGATGTATATGGTATAGCTCAAGAGCTAGATAGAAATATTGACTATAATTCTATTACATGCTTCTGCTGATGGAAGTATATTTGTCAGCAGAATGCAGAAGAGTCCAAGTACTCCTTTATATACCCACAAAAATCTACTCTGGAAGGGTGGGGGAAGACCCTCCCAAGCAGATTTGTGATCCTGAATGCCTAAACCCATGGCTTATTTTAACAAATGACAATGTACTTGCAGACTGATCTTCCCTGTGTGTAGAAGTGCAAACTTGAGTAATGGGTTCAGTTTTCTCCCCACCTCCTGCCATTTCTTTTCTCTCCATGGTAGCTGTAAGAACTCTGCTAAGTCTTTACAGTAATAACTTTGGAGCAGAAGCCCTGGGTCCCATTCAACAAAGTGATTAGAACGGCCTCTGAATGTAGCCCATTTGAAAGAAAATGCAAGCATTAGTACAAATAGCCAACAAGACAGGGAAGGCATAACACTGTCACTCCAGAACCTAAAATTATTTAAATGTACCAACATGTACTGTAATGGTTCTCTGAGCAGTTCTTTGGATCCCTCCAAGCTCTTTAATCCCTCTTGGAAGCTTACCACTCCCAAAGATTGCTTATTTCCCCTAATGATTGATTGGGTTGGAATTATCTAGGGAATTTCCAGCCAGCCCATCTGCCAAAGCTTTTGAACACTGAGAATGTTTATCCTCACTTTAAATAATGTAATTAAAGTCAATAAATAAACCTACCTATGGCAAGAAATATCAGAATAGGCTACCATCATGGTAGCACACAAACCTGGACCAATATCTTACCCATCTGAGCTCATATGAAACCATTTTCTCAAACAGATTTTACACCAAAATTATATTTAGGATACACATGAGATTATTTTAAGGATATGCTGCTGCCATTACTTTGCTGCCTACAGACAGGTACACCAGTCATTGTTGGTACTTTCCATTGTATACAGCAAGCTACCGAAGAGACTGTATTAGGCTACGTCCCACTACATGCAAGAAGACTGACATATATTAACAATCTCCTGTGCACGCATCATGTCCTGGATCGCAGATCAGATGTACACAGTCAGCTTACTATAGATGGAATCCATCTGCAAGCACTCCTTTCCACAAGATCCACATTTCTGTGTCCATATTAGGGCAAAGCCTTTCTTAGGTCATCATCAAGCTCACGAAAATGTACAAGTTATCTCTCAGCTTCTGCGAATGCCTAATGCAAACCTGGGATATCTAGTTTGCAAAGCTATTTATATGCTATTTATATGTGGAAATGTTAACAGAGCACTTGGTATAAGACAGACAATTCCATGCCAGATATTTCCCCAGAATTTAAAGCACAATTTGGTTTCCTTGAACCTGTGAATTATAAATGCACCACAAGCGGCACTGGAACAAACTGGGAAAGGGAGAATACAATGGAAGGAAACAGTCAAAGCCAATTCATGCACAGCTTGCTGAACTAAAGAATAGTTAGTTGCATAAGGTTTTCTCAGCAATTTGAGGAAGAAGGAGGGTTTAAGCTAGGAACGTTGAGATTAATAGGTTACTGGGTCTGAAATACCCACATTCTTGCAAATAACTACTTGTTTGCAGAGATGAGAGTGCACAGCTATTCAGGAACATGAAGGAGTGGATGATTGCCAAGTCTTCACATATTCCTTAGTGTCATTTCTCCTTCTATCCAAGTACATAATTATGATGCTGGACACCACATTGTTCACATTTAGCAAACAACCAAAGGCTCCCAAATTACTTTTATTTATTATTATAGGCTGTAGACACAGAGGGAGATGTTTTCTATGATTGCAATTCCCAGATGATATATTAAGAGCCACCAATGACTTTCTGAATAGGAGGCATCTTTAGATAATGGGTGAGGGTACAAAGCAATGGGCTATCTACATTATGCGGAGCAAATGTGGTTAGAACAAAACTTATTTGGTAAAATCTCTTGATCACATTTAGAAACAAATGCTTTATGTCCCTGGGGTATCTTTCAGTCATTACTTTGGTTGTTAATACTCCCTAAATTCCATCTGAAGTAAGACAGTATCCCTGTGCTGCTTGATATTAAGGAGAGTTGGCATTCTAGTGATGCTAAGGATATGAGTCCTTGGTGTCTCAATAAATATTTATGCATAATAGCTGCAGTTCTACATTTTCTAATACAACTCACAGTCCATTGTCTGTAAAGAGGGACCATTCAAGAGAAACATGTTTGGATAGGAGGGGTTGGTAGACCCTTTTCACCACCATGTCCCTTTATTCTGCAAGTCCTCCATGCTGAGTTGAGGGTCCAATAAGGCTTCATGGGAGGGACTATGGGGAAAAGCAGGGATGTGAGTGAAGAAGTTGGCTCAGTGCTATCTCCCATCTTCTACTTTTTAGCATGGAAGGAGGATATTTGAGGGCATAATATATTTGAAGGCTTGGGTATTTGGAGATCATAATAAACTTCACCTGGTTTATGAAAGCCTAGTTTATTCCATACTTTTTCTCCATATACCCGAGATTCACAGAAGCAGCTGTGCTTGATCGTATACTGTATAACATACAGTATATATCAGGAACTCAAAGATGTGACCAGCAACAATATTTCAGACTACAGCAGCATTTTTTTCAACCTCAGCAGCTGCACAGTGGCTGCCAGACCTACTAGGCACAAATGGCTTTTTAAAATTCTCCATTCAATTTCTGGCAGAGAAATTGGGTGGACAATTTCTCCAAATTTCTCTAGGGAAGAAGTCATCCAATAATTACTAAGAGGCAGAACTCCTGTTAGCAATAAAATAGCATCACCACTGAAAAAGCCCATGGAGGATTTCCCTAATGATATTTTTCCTTGGGATTTAACTGGAGTGTGGGAAGCCATGGAGATCACTGGAGAGAAGATTGCATAATGTACACACATCTTTAGCTAACTCATAACTGAATAAATGCAGGAATATCATATTCTATTCATGACAATTTTACCAAAATCCTCTTCTCCTTTGAGAACAATTTTTCTTTCATCAAATTGAATGAGTTGGAAGGGGGGGAAAAGGTAAGTTCTGTGCTCAACACTTATACCCATCAAGAGCTGGTTCTCATATTTCTCCATACAAATTCATCTCCAAAAATAATAGGAACTATCTATGTATAGCCCCTATTTTTATAAAAACAAAAGCATCCTTTGGTGATTTTTGAAATGGAAGATCATCAAGATGATTAATCTGTACCTTCAGTCTTCAGTGCTATCAGTTCACAGGAAAGTTGTCCGCTGTTACACTGAGTTTTTATTTCTTTCTGTACAAAAGATACAAACAGAAGAATAAGTTACTGTAGGGAGGAGGAGGAGGGCACAAAGACAAAGACTTGACAGAATCAGGTCATTTTGGTGAAATTTTGATGCTGGCCAGTATGGGATATTTCTGTGAGTCCTCCTAACAACAAATTATTCAACTGTGGCATAGTTCACAGTTCCTCAGATTGGCCATCAACTCCTGTCCTATTTAAGTACTGCCCTTATCTACCATCTTGTGAGATCAATCATATTTTCTGGGTGTGCTATCATTGCTGCCACAGGAAAAGAGTGTGTGTGAGGTAGGGCGGGATGGGGTGGGGGAGAACAGTCCACCAGGCAGTTGCTAAAAGTTAAGGCTTGTCCACCACATATAAGAAATTACTTGGTACATACCTAGCCCATCATTTTGAAAAATAACTGCTCAGTTTTGCCATGGGATCTAGGCAGAATGTATACTGTTTATTTATAAAACATTCTATTGTTCATGGTAGAGTATCTGTTTCCTGACAGGAAATGCTAGAATTTTCCCATAAGGAAACAGCATAGCCTTGGAGTTCCCCTACCATCAGATAGATCATGAGCAAAGTTTACCTACAGATTTATCACAGGTAAAATAAATTTGGCTTAACCTGCTAAGTCTTGGAATTTCCTAAAGAAGGAGACATCACCTACTTCTTAATATCAGGGAGAAAGGCTTCCAGCTCACTGGTAAACAGCATGTCAAAGATTCCACATTCAATATCTGGCATCTGTGAAAGTCTGTGAAAGACTCCCTGATAGTCAGTTTCAGCCACATACTTAGGCTAAAAGTAGCTGAGATGCACCATTGTCTGAATCAGGACTGTAAGAAATTGTCTATTACTATGAACATCTTTGCCATGACTTAAAATAATGTTCACTTTAATTGTGACAGATTAAAGCATTGCACAGCATCTCATAGCTGTGACATGGCATTGGATATCTTTGGTTTCCCTCACCAGTTATCATGCCATCCATATCTCTTACATTATACTATCAGGATAAATATTTTGTTTCTCCAAAATGCAAATACATTTTTAAAAATGAATGTATATATATATTTTTAAATGGACTATTCACACATGAAACAAAAAATACTGTCTGCATCAGATAGAAGCAGATTACAACAGCAGACCTCATTCTGCCCTGACCTGCCCACGTTCATTTTGTATTGTACATCTTGTACATATGACTAAGTTGCTTTTCTCCATTTTGCCTCTGCTTGATCATGTCTCAGGTACAATGAAGAATCCATAACTTATCTTTATTAACATACTGTCAGAGGCCAAAAGAACAGCACACAGAAAATTTGTGATAACATTGGACTACTACAATGTGCTGTACATGGAGCTACCCTTGAAAAGCATTTGGAAGCTTCAACTAGTGCAGAATGGAGCTGTATAGATACTAGATGGTGCTGGTTTCTTGGCACATGCAACACTACTACTTTGTGAGCTGCATTGGCTGCCAGTGTGCTTCTGGGTGCAATTCAAGGTGCTGGTTGTCACCTTTAAAGCCCTTCATGGCTTGGGACCAGGTTACTTGAGGGACTATCTTTCCCCAGGTATTTCTACTCGTCCGATCCAGTCTAGCAGGATGGGTATGCTCTGGGTCCCATTGTCCAAGGAACGCCAATTGACAGGGCCCAGGAGGCATGCCTTTTCTGCTGTGGCGCCCACCTTGTGGAACGTTCTTCCTCCAGAGGTTGTTGTTGTTTAGTTGTTAAGTCGTGTCCGACTCTTCGTGACCCCATGAAC